AAATGGCTTTGAGTTAGGTTCAGATGCCCAAGTGTCCGGCTGGACAATGGCCAGCATTTCTAAACTTCTGTAGTTTTGCTTTTACTGTAAAATAAATGTGGGCTTTTACAGAAAATGTTATGAAAAGTAAAATTGAATGCTAATTGAGTTAAGGTCATATTCGAAGAGGTTTGACATGGGTCCAGTTGCTCAGTAATTATGCTGGAAAAAATAATTAAAAATTTGCAAAGCAGGCACCATAACCAAGTATATAATGGATTTCAAAAATGGTGAAAAACGCATGAACATTTTCCTAGTGAAAGGAAAAAAGTCACTTATGGTTCACTTTTTACATGGTGTTTTTGTTAACGTTAACTGGACGGATTATTTAATAAAATTCTACTTTATATGAAAGATGTAATATAGTAGCAAGAGGGATACAGGATATAATTGCTCAGAGATCAAGTGGCACAGAAACATCTATCGGTCCCTTTACCATTCAAGACCTGGATTCAAATTCTGCATTTCTGCAGAAGAAAATCCAAAGTAAACAGACCTCTTTGACAACTGTGAAAGTGTTAATACTGTAGTACTTGCTGTGATCTTGACTGTATAATCTAATAATTGTGTATCACAGCATTTTACCTTGTATTGTGAGACGCTTTTCAAAAGTATCTTTTAGCTGCACGTATTGTTGAGGTAGGTTTCTGGTAAAACTGCCGGTGTTGCTCTTCCATCCCCCTTAATTCACCAGGATTTCCAGTGCAGCAAAGAAAAACACCCAAAGGACCTCTGAAGTATCCAAAAGACTTAGTGCTTCAGCTGTACTATAGAATGTGATAAAATGTGTGTGTGGGTAGAGATCTACAGTAGTGATGTTGTAAATATGAATTAAATTAACCCTTCTTTTTAGGAGAAAAACACTGCATTGCCTGGCTGCTGATGATGGCATTGAGGTATACTTGCAAAGCTACAAGGCTGCTGTTTTGAAACTTGGATTGTGTCTGCCTTTTGTTGGTGTGCCATTTCCTTTTTGGATTAAACTACTAAAGTAAGTCATTGGAGTTTCTATAGTGCTTTTCATGTTAAGGCTTCCCAAAATGCTTTACTGTGATTACATGACATTGATGTGGGTTGTTTTGTGTTTTGATAGTTTGGATTTCTCTGTGTTGGTTGTAATGATATAAAATCAGGATCGGTATCAGTGGCAAGAGTACTCTATTGGTGTGGCGGTTGCTAAAAACTAAAGTTATCCAGCTGGATTATTTGGGTGGAGTTGATTGATTGTTCACAAAGGATTTCTTTGCTTTTTCCGATCTTGTTCAAAATGAGTGGATACGTGTGGGTTTTGTGTGAAACAGTGTGAAAACTGTAAATTTACTGTGTAAATTCTGTTTTGCAAATAAATAGATTACAGAAAGAATTGTTGAGGTTCTCTCTAGTCTCTGTCCTTCCAAATCTGAGAATACCATGGGTTGCAACTACCTCTATTCGACTTTTCTGTAGTTTCATGGAGCGTTTTTTGCCATGAGCAAGGGAG